TGTGTCCATCCCTTGCTTTGGAGGAAGCGTGGTGTCTGGCATAATGTTTTAGGCAACGGAAGCAGAAGGTTGTCAATCCTCAGCATCTATAACACGACTTCCTGGGCATACCCACAGGCAAATGAGAGTTGTCTGTTTTCTGTGTGAGAAAATGCACATCATAGATGTATTTCACAGTGAGAAAGAAGAACTTCCATTGGGCAGCTCACCTCTAGAGTCTCCAGAGGGTCTGCTGGGATGAGTGCTCTTTATCCATCAGTAAGAACATTTGGTTTTGTGCTTTCATGAGGTATGAAACACAAAAAGCTCTTGTGAAAAGAACAATGTCCTACACAATAAAATGTTGAAGGTAAACCCTGAAGTGCGTTTCTCTCTCATAGCACCTCTCTGTGGAAACTGAGCAGCTGAAAGAAAAACAACATGGAAGAAGGAGAAAGGGACAACAGGACATCCTCCATGGATTTTGTGCTGCTGGGAATAAGTGATGTCCCCACGCTCCAGAACCTGCTCTTTCTCCTCTTGCTTGTGATCTACTCAGTCACCATGGTTGGGAACATCCTCATCGTTGTGCTGGTGGTGGCAGACCGGCACCTGCACACCCCCATGTACTTCTTCCTGGGCAATCTGTCCTCCTTGGAGACCTGCTACAGCTCCACCATCCTGCCTCGGTTGCTGGCCAGCTTCCTGACTGGGGACAGCACCATCTCTGCACACGGCTGCCTGGTTCAGTTCTACTTCTTTGGTTCCATTGTGGCTAATGAGTGTTTCCTGCTGGCGGCCATGTCCTACGATCGGTACTTGGCCATATGCCAGCCCTTGCTCTATGCAAGCCTCATGACCTGGAAGCTCTCTATGCACCTGGCAGCTGCTTCATGGCTTTGGGGATCACTGCTGCTGGTGGTAGTCACAGCCTTCTTATCCCAGTTGCAGTTCTGTGTCCCCAAGGCAATTGACCACTTCTTCTGTGATTTTACCCCATTGCTGGAGCTTGCCTGCAGTGACACCACAGCAGTCACAATTGTTACATTCATATTTAGCATCCTGGATGCAGTTTTTCCCTTCCTTTTCACACTGGCCTCCTACGTCTGCATCATAGCTGCCATCCTGAGGATCCCATCCAGCACAGGCAGAGAAAAGGCCTTCTCCACTTGCTCCTCTCACCTCACTCTCGTCACCATCTTCTATGGTACCCTCATCCTTGTCTACATGGTGCCTAGAAGAGCCCCTCTGAGGCAGCTCAACAAAGTGTTCTCCTTCTTCTACACCGTCCTCACGCCCTTGGTCAATCCCCTCATCTACAGCCTGCGGAACAGGGAGGTCAGGGAGGCACTCAGGAAAATTATGAGGAAGGTCCTGGCCTGTACCCAGAGCTCATGGTCCCTTGTTGACACAGGCAAGAGACACCTGTAGCTCCTTTGAAAGCTCTGGACTCCAGCTGGCTCTTCAGAAGTGCATGCCACTGAGACCACTTGCAGAGGGCTGAGGGGAAGAAAGCAAATGATCCTTGGAAATATCATGGTTTAAAAAACAATTTTTAAAATGCCATGCATTTGCTTTTAACTCAATAATAAACACCTTGATGGTCTTACATGTGGGAACTGTGGAAATGTAAATGCTTTCTTCGCTGGAGGAGATAAGATATTTGGCCTAATCTCTGAATCCTGTCCAAGGGCCATCTTGAGGGCATCCTTCCCACTGAAGGTTCCCAGAATGGGAATCACCTCACACTGTGGGGCACATTTCAGTAACATGAAGCTCATTTGTCAGCCATTAATGAAGGTCTGCTGATACTGCACTGCCAAGGAAAAATAGGCCGTTTCTGTTGGGTGGTTCCTGTGGGTTACCCGCACGCACCTCTCTCCCATCCTCTGGCCAGGCCCTCTTGCAGTCAATTCTTAAAAACCAGCTGGGGATGGTCAGGAACCTTCCTGACTGTCACAGCCTTTCCAGGATGTCAGAAGCAGCCACACAATGACTTTGGCCCTCACCCTTAGCACCCTTGGCTGCAGCTCTTCACGTCTGTATGAGTGGGAGTCAAGTATGACTAATCAGCTCCCTGACACTCTCTCCACATGCCCTTGGTCACCAGGCACCCTGCCCCACTCAGCAGTGCCACCACAACTTTTTTGCCTTCCTCTGGCTGCCAACAGACTGAAGCCCTTCTTGCTACCTTCTGCATCACCCAAGCAGTGCCCAGCCACAGGGACGTATCCTCTGTGCATGGGCATGGTGGAGGGATGAGCACCAGGGCAGACTGGCAGAAGACAGGACAGCTCTGCAAAAGGCCAAGGGGGAACCCAGTGCTGAAGCTGGGGCTTGAATCTGGGAGTCTTCAGTCTAAGGCTCTTCCAGCTGAGCTTCTTCTCTCCTGCCCCAGGAGCCCTTGTCTTGGTGCCAGCGCTGCCTGAGCTCAGACAGGAGCGCAAGAGGTTTTCTCCTCAGGGAGGTACCTGTGACCCGTCCTAGCCCAACCCCACAGGTGGGAGCTGCCCTCTCCCTGCCCAGGCCTGCCAGCCCGGCTGTGCCAAGATCGCATCCCTGCCACCCGACCTCAGCCCATTCCTGAAAGGCTTGGGCACAGCCCTCATGAGGACCTGCAGCTGCCTTGGGATTACGGCAAGGCTGGTGGCAAGGGGAAGGCATAGAGGGACAGCACGGTTGTGCTGGGAGCAGGGCACCAACAGGGAAGCAGGGGTGTGACCTGTGCCCTGGGCTGCACACAGGGCCACTGGGGAGCTGGTGCCTCCATGGCCAGGCAGGGTACAGGATCGGGGTGGATTGTCAAGGGTAGGAGCACTGGGATTTTCTTGGACTTCCAGTGCAAACGTGCCTGTGGCGAAGGCAAGTGGGCAGGCTCAGGCACAGCTAACTGTAGAATCAAGGGTGGAAAAGAAAGTGTGCTGGCCTCCTGCCGTGGTTGCTCCACTTCATCCATAAAAGCCTGAACAGTTCATGTGTTTCAACTACATTATCCTCGAAGATGAAAGAGTTGTCTGAGGCTCCTTTGTCCTCCGGGGCAATTTTCTTACCAAATCCAGCCCAGGAGCTACCAGAACAAGTGTCGGAGATGAAATACTTGACACAGTTATGATTTAGCAGCAATTCAAGATTTATTAATGGTTTGAGGTGGATCAAAAGGTTGAATTTTAGCAGCACTTAATCATTGACCAATTAAAGATGAACAGGGCAGTAGAATATGTTATAATTAAAACAGCGACTTAATTGCAGATTGGAGAATGACAAGAGTCACACTTACTACAGGGCATCCGAAATCAAAACATATGTATGGACATAGGCATAAACACAAAACATACAAACACACACCATCCAGGGACTCGCACACACACCACCCGAGTGTTTAACTGCCAGGAGCCGAGTCCTTTCTCAGTGGGTGACTCCGGTGAGCCAACAGAGTGCCCCTTTTGACTCCTCACACGCACACACAGACAGGCAGAAATATTTACATCCAGTGACATACACAGATACCCACACTGGTGAAGGCAAATGTATATATTCAAACACGCAGGTAGGCAGAGAGGTGGATGGAAGAGGCTAGCCTGCAGTTAAAATTTCCCTCTTCTTGAATTTAGAGTAAACGCTCACAATGAATTTAGGGTAAACACAATGAATTGGCATTCCTCAATGGTTGATAATTGAGCCTCAAGAAGTTTGACTTCACCCTGACCTTTCTTTGTCAGCAGATGGCCTTTAAATCTCAGGACATTTACACCTGAGAGGTGTCCCACCTCAGGGGAGATGCTGGTCACAACCCGCTGTGATCCAGGAGAGCTCCAAGGGTCTTGCTTAGAGTCACTCTTTATGTTGTCTTGTAGTTAGAATCCTAGCCATTTATCTTAGCATTAAACTTGTTAGCATTGAAGTTAGTTAGGCCTGTTAACTATTGGCGTTGGCTGAACTTCTGATACAGGGAGTTGCGTACGACCGTCTTGTCATGCACTTGGACAGACGGGCGACCTTGGGAGTGTTTCTTCACAAGTAGCTGGGCTAATTTGTAGAGGACCTCTTTGAGACATTCTCATGGATAATGAGGATTCTCTCCTTGAGTTGTGTGAGAAAGAATACCTAACCAAGGAAAGCAAGCATCCTTCTCGTTCTTTACAGTGGAACATCCTGGACCATATGAGCATACGAACCTTGAGGATGCTACTAATCCACCCGGTTCTGAAAGGTCTAGCCAACTTGGCAGAAAAGCGAAGATTCTGGGTGTCCTAAGTTGAACTACCTTCATTGTAATACTAAAAATCACTCCCATAGGTCAAGAAGACCCTTGCCCAGATGCAGACCTTCCCTTTGTGCAGGCGCAGTGACTGAGGAGAATGACGCAGGAAATATTATAATCTTACGTAAATTACTAACCGGTCATTGTAACTGGGAGTGCGCTACCTTGTAACTTTCATGTATAATTATGTCGGGGAAACCGGCATGGGGTGAGCATGATTTGCGGAAATATTCGGCCGTACACCATGGCCAGAATAAAGCAATGTCTCCTCTCTAAACATAGTCTCTGTGTTTCAGGGAAGCTCAAGTGCCGGGGCTGATGGGGAAGCTGACATCCCCCTCTGCCCCTGGAGCTGCTGTGCCCTTCAGAAGGGCCGTGGTGTGAGCGCCCAGAGCTCGGCATCACCCTGCGGCAGGCACTGCCACGGGGTCAGCCCAGACTGGGCTGCTCTGCTGGCTGGGCTGGGGAGAGGGCAGGGGAGGTGGGGAGAGGCAGGGAGGGGCTGGGCTGGGCTGGAAGGTTTCTTGGGAGAGGAAGAGACCCCCGTTAGCTGAGCTGTGTGAATGTGCAGGGTGGGAGCACACAGCAGCATGATCCTGGTGCACAGGCAGGGCTTTTGGGGAAGGATGTGAGACATCAAAGGCGGAAAAGAGAGGTCATTGCCATGGTCCCCGGACACCCTGAGGAAGCTGCCCAACGACCAGGAAAAATCAATCCTGAACCCTGGCTATTCCCATCTCTGGCGATACAACCAGCTGTGGGCAGGGACCTCTGCTGCATGGCAAACTCTGTCTTTCAACTGGGCTGAGTGCCTGCAGGAGCCATGGCCAACCCTCTGCAGTCTCTCCTGACCCAGACACTGCCAGACCCTGCAGCATGGCTGTCTGCAAAAAAAATTCCATGAGATTCATAGAAACATAGAATGGTTTGGGTTGGAAGGGACCTTAAAGATTATCTAGTTCCAATTCCCCTGCCATGGGCAGACACCTTCCACTAGACCAGGTTGCTCAAAGCCCCATCCAAGCTGGTCTTGAACACCTCCAGGGATGGCCTCCAGGGATGGGGCCTCCACAACTTCCCTGGGCAACCTGCGCTAGGGGCTCACCAGCCTCACAGTGAGAAATTTCTTCATAATATCTAATCTAGATCTACCCTTTTTCAGTTTTAAACCATTCCCCCTCATCCTATCACTATGTGCCCTTGCAAAATGTCCCTCCCCAGCTTTCTTGTAGGCCCCCTTTAAGTACTGGAAGGGGCTTCCTGGAGCCTTCTCTTCTTCAGGCCAAACATCCCTGACTTTCTCAGCCTGTCCTCACAGCAAAGTTGCTCCAGCCTTCTGATCATCTTCATGGTCTTCATCTGGACCTAATCCAACAGGTCCATGTCCTTCTTATGTTGGCATCCCCAGAGCTGGACGCTGTACTCAAGGTGGGGTCTCACCACAGAAGAGTACAGGGGAAGATTCATCTTCCTTCA